TACAATAATGGGCTCATACAGTACTTGTCCTTATGCAATTGACTTATTTCACTCAGCATAATGTCCTCCAGGTTCATCCACATTGTGAGATGATTCATGTATCCCTCCTTGTTCTTTAATGTGGTATAGTATTCCATTGTGTGGATATACCATAATTTGGTTATCCACTCATCCATTGATGGGCATTTAGGTTGTTTCCATCTCTTTGCTATGGTGATTTGTGCTGCAATGAACATAGGTGTACATATGTCTGTTTGTGTGCTATCTCTTACCTCTTTAGGATATATTCCTAGTAATGGAATTGCTGGGTCAAATGGTACTTCTATTTTCAGTTTTTTAAGGAAACGCCACACTGTTTGCCACAATGGTTGTACCATTTTACAATCCCACCAGCAGTGCACAACTCCGCCAGCATTTGCTACTATCTGATCAGTTGGACTTTGCTATTATTGCTGGGGTGAGATGATATCTCATTGTTGTTTTGATTTGCATCTCTCTAATGATTAATGATCTCAGCATAGTATTTTCAAGGTTCATCCATGTTGTAGCATGTGTTAGGACCTGGTTTATTTTTATGGCTAGGTAATATTTTCTTGTATGTATGTTTGCTGTTGTTGTTGTTGTTATGTGCCGTCAAGTCAGACGCATGTTCTTGTTGTTGTTATACGCCATTGAGTCGGACCTGACTCATAGAGACCCCTCCTTGGGTTTACAAGGCAGTATCACTACGGAAGTAGATTGCCCCATCTTCCTTCCGAGGAGTGGCTGGTAGGTTTGAACCGCCAGTCTTCTGGTTAGCAGTCAAATGCCTTAGGCACTATGCTACCAGTATGTATGTTGTTGTTGTTGTTGTTGTTATGTGCCGTCGAGTCAAACCCGACTCATAGCAACCCCTCCTTGGGTTTCTGAGGCAGTATCACTACGGAAGTAGGATTGCCCAACCTTCCTTCCGAGGAATGGCTGGTGGGTTTGAACCGCCAGCCATCTGGTTAGCAGGCAAGTGTCTTAGCCACTATGCTACCAGAGCTCCGTAGTACATTTTATTTACCTATTCATCTGTTGATAGACATTTAGCCTCTTTCTACCTTTTGGCTCTTGTGAAAAGTACTGCTGTGAACACAAGTATCTATTTGTGTTCCTGTCTTCACTTCTTTGTAGTATATGTAGGAGTGTAATTGCTACATCATATGGTAGTTCTGGGTTTCACTTTTTGAGGAACTGCCAAATTGTTTTCCACAGTGGTTGTAACATTTTACAATCCCACCAGCAATGGATGAGGATTCCAATTTCCTTGCATCTTTGCCAACACTTGTTTGTTTGTTTTTTAAAATCATAGCCATTTTAGTGGTTATAAAGTGATACCTCCTTTGATTTTGATATGCATCTCCTGAATGGATAATGATGTTGAGCATCTTTTCAACTTGTTGGCCATTTGTATTTCCTCTTTGATGCATTGTCTATTCAAGTCCTTTGCCCATTTTTCTATTGGGTTGTCATTTTGTTTTTAAGTTGTAGGATTTACTATATATATGATACTCATTCACTGCCATAGAGTCTGATCCAACTCAGAGCAACCCCTCCTTGGGTTTCCAAGGCAGTATCACTACGAAAGTAGATTGCCCAATCTTCCTTTCAAGGAGTGGCTGGTGGGTTTGAACCACTAGCTTTCTGCTTAGCAGTCAAGTGTCTTAGGCACCATGCCACCAGAGTTCCCATATATCTGATGTATATATCTAGGAGCTCTGGTAGCATAGTGCCCAAGGCACTTGACTGCTAACCAGAAGGCTGGTGGTTCAAACCCTCCAGTCACTCCTCGGAAGGAAGATGGGGCAATCTACTTCCGTAGTGATACTGCCTTGGAAACCCAAGGAGGGGTCTCTATGAGTCGGGTCCGACTCAATGGCGTGTAACAACAACAACAACAACAACAACATATGTGTGTGTGTGTGTGTGTGTATAACTGAGCCATAGAGTTTCCAAGACTGTAAATCTTTACAGAAGCAGACTGCAACATCATTTTCCTGCAGAGCAACTAGTGGATTTGAACTGCTGACTTTTGGTTAACAGTTGAGTGCTTAACCACTTGCAACAGCAGGGCTCCAACCTATTAAACCATGCAAGAGTAGGAACCTGCATAAAATGGAAACTTGTTAGAGAAGGAAAACTCAAATATTCTCCACTAAAAGAAGAGATAGAAAAGTGATAAGACCGTAAACTGTCAAAGGCAGAATACTTGTGTAAGACCCAGAAAAACAAACCCATTCCATGGTGTTCCAACTTTCACAGGTTTCACTGTAAATATAGGTAACTTTGATGAAGTCTCTAACCTATTTTGTCTTTGGTTGCTTGTGCTTTTGATGTCTTATCTGAGAATTTGTTGTTAAAATCTATGTCCAGAAGCATTAGCTTTATTTCTTTTTGTTTAATGGCTTTGGTTTTTATATTTAGGTCTTTCATTCATTTTGAGTCAGTTCTTGTATATGGTGAGGGATAGGGGTTTAAGTTCATTCTTTGGCATGTGGAAACCCACATGTCCTAGCACCATTTAAATATTAAAGAGACTGTTCTTTCCTATTGCATGCACTTAGAGAAGTCAGTTAGCTGTAGGTGTAACGAGTTTATTTCTGAACTCTCAATTCTATTCTGTTCTATTAGTCACTATGCCTGTCATTGTACCAGTACCAAACTGTTTTGATCGCCGTAACTTTGTAATATATTTTAAGGTAAGGATGTGTGAGTTCTCCTGTTTTGTTCTTCTTTTTCAAGATTACTCTGGCTATTCAGGGTGCCTTGTCATTCCATACAAATTGGAGAATTGGCTTTTCCATTTCTGCAAAGACTTGTAGTTTTGATGGAGATTGCATTTGATCTATAGATTGCCTTGGGTGATATTTACATCTTAACAATGTTCAGTCTTCATGAGCACAGAATGTCCTTCCAATTATTTATATTTCCTTCAATTTCTTTCAGTAATGTTTTATAGTTTTCAGTGTGTATATCTTTAACCTCCTTAGTTAGAAGTTCATAGGCATTTTATAGATGCATTTATAAAGGGTTTTGTTTTTCTTAACTTCCTTTTCAGATCGCTCATTGATGATGTATAGAAACCCAACTGACTTTTGTGTACTGATTTTGTGTCCTGCCATTTTGCTGAATTCATTTATTAATTCTAGTAATTTTCTTGTGGATGCTTTGTTGTTCTTCTCTATATAAGATCATGTCATCTAGTAAAAGGGTTAATTATTATTCTTCCTTCAAAAATTCTGTATTTAAATTTATTTTTCTTGTCTAATTGCCCTGACTAAGGAGCTCTGGTGGTGTAGTGCCTAAGGCACAGAAGATTGGCAGTTCAAACCTACCAGCCACTCTGTGGAAGGAAGACTGGGCAATCTACTTCTGTAAAGATTTACCACCTTGGAAACCCAATGGGGGGTCTCTGTGAGTCAGAATCAACTTGATGGTAGTGAGTTTGGTTTGTTTTTCGGAATTGCCCTGGGTAGAACTTTCAGTACAGTATTGAGTAGCAGTGGTGAGCATCTATGTCTTGTTCCTGATATTAAGGGGGAAAGCTCTGTTTTTCTATTAAATATGATAGTAGCTGTAGATTTTTCATAAATGCCCTTTATTACATGAAGAATTTCTTTCTATTCCTATCTTTTTGAGTGTTTTAATCATAAAAATGTGCTGGATTTTGTTGAATGCCTTTTCTGCATTGATTAAGATGATGTTGAAGTTCTTTTTTTGTTGTTCTATTAATGTGAAGTATTACATTGATGGAATTTGTAATGTTGAACCACCCTTTATTTACTGGGATAAATCTCACTTGATTATGATATATAATCCTTTTCATATGTTTTCAATTTGTTTTGCCAGTACTTTGTTTAGCATTTTACATCTATATTCATAAGGGATATCAGTCTGTAGTCTTCTTTTCTTGTGGTCTTTTTGCCCCCTATAATTTCTAGAAATTCTGAGCCAGCAAGGACCTGTGCTAGCCTCACTGGGTGTTCTCAGATTCACATGCCTTGGCTTCTGCTCATTATGAGCCCCTCTCATTTTGAGAATATATGTTTGTTGGTGATTTCTGATCCTTCACAGGTTCTGATGCTGTTGGGTGATTTGGGCCCTACCTACATATATTTTAGGGTTATAAATCTAATGTATAGATTTTTTATAGCTGTTCTAGTTCCTCTATATTGTTTTTATGAAGAAATATGAAAAGATTAAAAAGAAAAATAACTCACTATTCTGTTCCTATGGTCTTGTTGCCAGAAACTCCTAATGCCTTTATTTTAAACAACTTTTTCACTATATATTAGATGTATATTTTATAAATAACATAATAGTTTTATTTTGCTTTTTAACCCAATCTGATAGAAAGTGAACCTATGCACATTTAATTGTAACTGATTGCTTTGATGTTATTTCTTCAGTTTTATTTATGCTTATTATTTACTTTATTTTTTACTGTTTCTTTATTTTCCTTTAGCTGTTTTTCTGTTTTTGCTGATTCAGTAGACTGTCTCTTTATTCTCAATATCCCTTTCTATCCCCATGTCTTAGAGTTCTTTATGATTTTAAGTTTGTTTCTGTTTCTTTCCCTTCTTAACAATCAGGATTAAAATCTTTCTACATTAGGATATATGTGTGTGTGAGTAGATATAGATATAGGTGTAGATATAGATATACACACCACACTCACTGCCATCGAATCGAATCCAAGTCATAGTGACCCCTCCTTGGTTTCTGAGCCAATAGCTCTATGGAAGTAGATTGTATGTGTATGTGTCTTTGTCTGTATCTATTTATTTATTTAATATATATATTTAAAAAAGTCTTCACTTCTCGTAAAAATTCTTGATTTTTCAACTCACTCTCCTCAATTAAGATTTCTAGAGTGCATTTACTTCCTTTCTACTGTTCTTCATCCTGCTGAAATGAGACAAATGATTTTAAAAAGATAGTGTTTCTCTTTTTTTCCTTCTCATTTCTTAACCTAGAACGTACAAGGACAATTTACCTTTCATTGGGGATGTGTCTTTAACAAATGACTATGAAGAACTCAAAGATTCAAACCTGTATGTTACTCATGTTCTTAAATCAGATGTCAAAACAGAAACTGATATGGATGAGGTAAAATGATCTTAGAAATATGGACATAGCATTTCAATATAAAATTAATTTTATTTTAGAATAAAAAATGTGATTTATGATTACAACTCAGTTTCACTCTTAGCACATACACAAATACCTGCTCATACATTAGAAAGCTATTATTACACCTGTATGATTTAGTTTTGTTCATTCATTCAACAAATAGTTATTGAACATTTACTGTGTACTAAGGGAGCTCTGGTAGCATAGTGGCTAAGACACTTGCCTGCTAACCAGACGGCTGGCGGTTCAAACCCACCAGCCACTCCTCGGAAGGAAGGTTGGGCAATCCTACTTCCGTAGTGATACTGCCTCGGAAACCCAAGGAGGGGTCGCTATGAGTCGGGGTCGACTCGATGGCACATAACAACAACAACAACAAGTATTGAACTGGGCATTAGAGATGCAGCAGTGGGTAGAGAAAATTGCCTGACATCCTGGAGTTTATATTTTACTGGAGAAAACAGTGCACAAATATGATGTCAGGAAGTGATGAATACTGTGAAGGAAAATACAAGAAGGTAAGGGGTTACAGAGTGGTACTGTATACTACTTTGCATGGGAATGATCAGGGAAGGTCACTGTCAGGTAGCAACCACTCTTCTCTCCTTCCACTACTGTGCCCTTCAAACCCTCCTTGCTTTTCTTCAAAGCACTTTTGTTGATTTATATTCTTAGCTTTAAAGCAACACAAAGCAAGTATGAAAAAATCGAAGGAATCCTAGAGAAACTTTCATTAGGAGTCTTGCCATAAAAAATTGTCTCCCTCTCCCCATGCATTTTTTTTTTTTTTTTTTTGGTGAGGGGGTGCATGGATTTAAACTTTGTATGGTAGGTGCTTGTCCTATTTGGCAAAAGCAATGTTTTTATTATACTCTATATTATGCACTTTATAATTTTCTCCCTTTCGAAATATTTTAGGTATATTTGGTAACTAGAGAAAGTGTTCGCATATAGTTTGAAATCTAGAAAGATATATACCAAAATTTTAACAGTGATCATCTGTAGGTGGTAGGATTCTGGGTAACTTTTACCTTTATATATATATATATATTTCTTTATAGTTTGAACTTCGTACAGTACTCATGTATTATAGTAATAGAGTCTTTACTAAATATATCATACCTTCAAAAATATGTACTGTATGGTGCAGTTTAAAGTATAATTAAGCAAACACCTGAGCTTCAAATTCTTCAATGTCTATCCTAAGTATCCTTCCTTGGTAAAACATTTTATTTTCCTGTTCTACTGTTGATGGGTTATTTTTAGTTTTAGTTTTTCTTATCACATACAATTTGCCACAAAATTTCTTCTATGTGTCTCTTCTCCTCCTTTATGTATGAACAAGTGTTTTCTCTTAGGAATATTGCTGCAGTGAAATTTCTGCATATTTTTAACTGTACTAAGTCATGTGAAATTATTTTCCAAAATGTTTGTGCTAACTTACAAAACTTTTAACAGTGCAAAAGTTTTGTTCTTCCACATTCTCCCAACTTAATGGTTTTGCTAATCCAATGATTGTAAGATGGCATTTCGTTGTGTTTTCTATTTGTATTTTCCTGATCGCTGGTTAGGTTGAGCAATTTTTCATGTTATTGATGACTCAAGTTTCATTTTCTGTGTGTTTTGCTGATTTATGTATTGAGATTTTTAAATTATTATTTTGTAGGAATTCTTTATATCTGTTACAGTTACCTTCTCCCACTGGATGACTTATTTTTTGTTTCCTGTATATGGTGTATAATGTAATGGGGTTTACCAATCCTTTCACTTATATTAGTGTTTGAAATTATTCCCCATCTTGAAGTCACAAAGATATTCTCCTACATTTTCATCAAAAAAATGTTCTTTTTAGTTTTAAAATTCTGTTTTTTTAAAATAATTTATTTTGTTTTTGTTGTCAAGAATATACACAGCAGAATATACACCAATTCCACAATCTCTCTGTGTACAATTTAGTGATATTGATTACATTCTTTGAGTTGTGCAACCACTCTCACCTTCTTTTTTTGAGTTGTTTCTTCCCTATTAACATAAACTCACTACCCCTAGGATTCCTATATAATCTTCCAAATTGCTGTTGTTCATTTGATCCTGTCTAGATAGATACTAAAAGAACACAATGCTCAAGGTAGACAGTTTTTACTAATTAAGCTATTGTTTGGTTTACAAAAAGGAGCTCTGATGGTGTAGTGCCTAAGGCATTTAACTGCTAACCAGAAGGTTGGTGGTTCAAACCCACCAGCCACTCCTCAGAAAGAAGACTGGGCAGTCTATTTCCATTAAGATTTACTGCCTCAGAAACCCAAAGGGAGTCACTATGAGTCAGAATTGACTTGATGGGAGTGAGTTTCTTTTGTTGTTGTTGTTGTTTCTTTGTTGTTTGTTTGTTTGTTTGCAGAAGACTTCAGGGGATAGTCTTGGCTTAACGTTTAAAGATTCCCTCAGAGTAGTGAGTTTGTTTTTGTTGTTGTTTGTTTGTTTGTTTACAGAAGACTTCAGGGATAGTTTTGGCTTAAGGTTTAAAGATTCCCTCAGAGTAGTAGTTTCAGGGTCTCATTCAGCCTCCAGAGCTTCAGAAAGTCTGGAATCCATAAGAATTTTAAATTTGATTCTGTATTTCCCCCCTTTTGATCAGGACTCCTCTGTTGTATCTTGAATCAAATTATTCAGTAACGGTAGCTAGGCATCATTCAGGTCTTCTGGTCTCATCACAAAGGGGGCAGTTGTTCATGCAGGCAATTAGCCACTTGCTACATTTCCTTCTCCTGTCTCTCACTCTCCTTCTTCCTTTGTTGCTTCAGGTGAGTAGAGACCACTCTTGTACTTTGGATGACTGCTTGCAAACTTTTAAGACCTCTGGCACTACAAAATAGAGGTAGAACAGAAACACTAAACACTATATTAGGCCAATTACCTGGGATATCCCATGATCTACTAAAAGTTTTAAAGTTTATCTTTCACAAGTCTTTAATTCATCTGGAAAATATTTTAGTCTATGGTAGGTGCCTTAGTTTCTTCCAAACCAAAAAAAAAAAAAAAAAAAACCTCACTGCCCTTAATTCGATTTCGACTTATAGCGACCCCTCCTTGAGTTTCTGAGGCAGTATCTCTATGGAAGTAGATTCCCCAATCTTCTTTCTGAGGAGTGGCTAGTGGGTTTGAACCATCAGACTTCTGGTTAGCAGTCAAATGCCTTAGGCACTACGCTACCATAGAAATACCAGAAGTGGGTGGCTTTAGCAAATAGAAATTTTTTAATTTTATTTATTTATTTATAATTTTTTTTATTGTGATTTGGATGTAAATTTACAAAGCAGATTCATTTTACTCTCAACAATTAACAAATAGAAACTGATTTTCTCAACATTTTAGGAACTAGAAGTCTCAGTTCATTGTGCTGGCTCTAGGGGAAAATTGTGTCTGTTCTGGGAAAAAGTCCTTATCTCAGCTTCTCTAGTGTTCTTCTCCATGTTCCTTGCAGATCTCCCCCTGACATCTTTGTTTCCCCACTCATGCTTACTTGCTTCTGTGACTAATCTACTCCTTTTATATATCAAAACTGGCCAGGTTTAAGATACACCCTCCACTGGTACAGCCCCATTAACATGCAAAGGAAATCCTATTCCCAAATGGGATTACATCCACAGGTATGGGGGTTAGACTTTATAACACATATATTGGAAACACATAATTCAATCCATAATAGTAGGGATCCATTTTCATTTATTTTTATATTAGTAACCACTGTCACAGCCCAATTTATTTTCTAGATCATCCCATCCCTGCAGATGTGCACTGGCAGTTCTATTTTTTATCATATATTTTCATATATGTGGGAGTCTGTTTCTGGACTCTGTGCTATTCTGTTGGTCTGTTTGCCTGTTACTGTGCCAATTCTATACTGGATCAATTCTTTAGCTTTGAAATAAGACTTCATGTATGGCAAAGCAAATACCCCCTTTTCTCTTTTCTAAAAGTGTCTTACCCATTCTCAGCCATTTCCCCTTCCATACAAATTTTAGAATCCCAGTTCTATTGGATTTTGATTGACATTGCCTAGAATCTATATATAATTGAAAGGAAAATTAAAATTTGTGACACTGATTATTCCTACCATGATTGCATTATTTATTTAAGTCTTCTTTAATGTTTTTTTAATGAAGATCTTTCATATTTTTTATTTGATTTATCTCAGTGCTTAATATCTGCAGCCTGTGCTCTAAAAGAATTATAATTTTAGCTTATTTTACTAGTTCTTTATGACTACTTTGTGATAGAAATATTTATGATAAACATTTTTGCAGTCTTCTTAATTGTTTTATTGACTATGCAAAGGGATTTGATTGTGTGGATCATGACAAATTATGGATAACATTGAGAAGAATGGGAATTCCCAAACACTTAATTGTACTCATGAAGGACCTGTACACTGACCAGGAGGCTGTCATTTGAACAGAAAACGGGGACACTACATGGTTTAAAATCAAGAAGGGAGTGTGTCAGGGTTGTATCCTTTCCCCATACTTATTCAATCTATATGCTGAG